TGTCATCTCTGGAATGAGAAAATTGAGTGGATTTGTCCAAGTGGCACTCCCTCTTCGAAACATGCTAATCCAAGCTGGGAGTGGTGTCTGTGTCTATGAAACTAGAAGCGATCAAGTGTTTTTGGAGTACTTTTGAAAGGGGACCAACACTGTGTACAAGGGGGGTGGGGGACACAACAAGATGAAATGGAAGACTGAATTGTCTGGCCATACAATCTCCCTTTGAAATGATTCATTCCATCTCTGTTAATTAGCTGATACACTTGTAAATTGACCTCTGAATCCTGCCTCTGTCTGCACCTCCCACTGCAGAGAGAGGGGATCAGAGCAAGAAAGAGACAGGGAGGGATTAGACAGAGGGGTAAGGGCAATGAGAGAGGACGGGGTAGATTTGTTTGTGAAGAGAGAGAACAGGTGATAAAGTGAGAGAGACAAAGAAAGAAAAAACAGTAAAGTAAAAAAAAAAGATCAACTCGGGAAATGAGTCTAACAGTCCAATTATGTCTGGCACCTGGTGACAGGATGTGTAAGTATACTGTTGCTTTGTCCTTTTGGCAAGAACAGAGATAATGTCAGGAGACAAGCAGATGATGCAGAACAATGAGAATTTCTGAACAAAGACTATGAAGTTCAGTGTTTACATTATTTTCTGCCATTGTTGTGGCCAAAAATATGAGGCAGCATAGAGAGATTGAAACTTCCAGAAACTACGGTGAATAATAAATCCAAGAAAGAACATAGGATGAGAATTTTAGAGGAAATTTCACCACTGCAGTCTACTTTAGAATGCAGGCAGTGGCCTATAAATTCACAGAATGATACAAAGGGAGATCAGTGAGTGATAGATGGGGAATTGGTAGAGCAGATCCAGTTGCAGATTATTTATTGATTAGACATCAAAGACCCAGGGTGGGACAATGGGTGTCTTAAAACTAACCTCAATATGGACATTGGATAAATTGCCCCATAGCCATTCAGACAGAAGTTCAGTGTTTTGTCTGTGTGTTTCTAAAAACCCGTTATCCTTCATTCAGCATTCTAACCAAACCCTTCAAACCCATTGAGCTGAGTAATGACTACCATTTTAAATTAGATGGATTGTTATTAGTCATTAGAGACTGTTAACTACTTCCATGTGTAAACTGTACCATAATGAATCTGTAAGTAGCTATGTCTTGGCCTGAGTTAATGTAGCACCACACAAAGCACTGATTGAGTTTGACCGTGTGGTGCCACAGTCCAACCATATTCAACAATTGGCATGTGTAATAAAATCATTTCAGGATTTGCTGCTATGTACAGCACAGCAGAGGCTATAAAATTACCATGTAATACTGGTAAAGTGCTGAAGCCCCATCAGTTATTTAATAAATTTGTGTTGACAGTCTGATATTATTCATAGTCCATCTTTTTCTGTCTAAAGAATACACAAGAGATAACAGTCTTTCAGGCGAGGAGATCTTCCTTCTTCCTTTCACACTGATTGACCTCTTTCAATCATGCTGCAACATCTTGTCTTGTGTAGTACACAGTGCACAAAGTACCACATGATGAAGGAATTATGTGGAATGTATTCTGTTGCTATCAAATTACTTGTCCTCAGCATTAATGAATGATGAACATTTGCATCACCCCCTGATGCGAACATAGCATTTCAACACCATCTGCTATTTGTTCTATTCCTTGTAACCATGGCTGAGCTCCTTTGAAGAGGTCCTTTTAAAGACATTCAAATATAATGCTAAATAGCTGTCGCTGCCGGCATTCTGACGCAACCAGAATATAAATGTACAGCGCTGAGGAAGAAAGGGGAAAAAAAAAACACAAGGGGATAAGTTGCAGCAGGGCCAAGTCCTTAATGGGTGAATCTCCTGGGTTCAGGGACCAAGAGGTTGAGAGGACACTCCGCCAACCTGTGGCTGCATAGTACCACAGTCACTTGCTTTAAAACTGTTCATGCATTAGGAAACAGCAACACAAGTAAGAAATCCATTTTGAATCCCCAGACGATCTGTATGAAGAATAGCTGAACTGAATAAATGATTACAACACTATTCTTAATTGACATGTCAAAACTGACCCGAAGATCTGTGGGCTGTCCATTGACTGTACAGACGGACAGCCTGACAGCTCCCAGAAGTGAAGAAACTGCAGTCTGATTACCCCCGGTAGCTGATTGCAGTATAGGTCATAAATCACACCTCCTCCATGTGTGATGCGACATGAGCTGAACAAAAACTTAAAGTACAAATCAAATACATTTTTCCCAAATTATCATGATGATTTGTGTACAAGTGGTCATTTTTCTTTCCCCTCTGCCATGTTTAGACACAGACATCTGTTAAATCACATATATCCCCAGTTATTTTTCATTTTTACTAGAATCTACTGTATTATGACTGATCAGGCTATTGATACAAATCTGAGCTTTACAGTCTGTCACTTCCCCCCTTGTGGGGAGGCCGGGAAAATCAATAAATCGAGAGGCTACATAAAAACTCAATTTCTTCCTGATGAGCCTATTTGAAAGCTATTTTTGTCTAGTACGTTTATGTCATTGGTCAGCCTGATGAAAACTCTTTCTATGGCTGCTGTTTTAGATGCCATTCCTTATCTATTTATACACCAGCCACCACTTAGAGGAGTTACGATTATCAACAAGTACAATTAAACACATATCTGCTTACAACCATATTATAATGTGTTATAAACTATTTAGATGTTACTATACTGCATATGAATGATAAATAGAGGGACCTTAAGTGAAGTGTTACCAGTTTTATCCACTTTAAATCAACTTAAGCCATGACATAATAAATTAACCTTTAGTCACAGAGTTAAACTAAACAACCACACTGTCTATTATAACTATTATTATTGCAAAACTTGGGAAACCCAATGACCGATAATATTGCAATGTGGGATAGATGCAACAGCATCTCCAGCATCTCATATTAGGGGAAAAACATTGGTCAAAACACACAACATACAGTAATTAATACTCTATAACTGAGTCCTTATTAGATCTTTGGTAGTTGAATACCACACATCTCTGAATTTAGGTTTTGATTTAATAATGAAGTAAAACATTTTAACAATATATTGGATGAAACTTGTATTTAAAACATCCTTAGAATATATATGTTACTGTTTTTTTTCATTTTACAAGAAGTGCATATTTTTAAAAAGTGTGTTAGCATCACCAACTGAAGAAGGTGGTATCTACACAGTATGGTTTCCAGAGACGACGAAGCTTGATAAGGGGCCAAGCCAACCGTGACATTTGTAATTGGGAGTAGCTGTCATTGTCACAGTGATTTATAATATAATTAATGAACCATTAGGTGACATATTAGTGCGGTCTTCTTTGTTTTTGCTCATATGCGGTCTGAAAACTTTTCTTGCTGGTTTTATTTCCCACAAACTGCCAACTTTTTTGATAACTAGTGTCGATCCCTCTCTGATTACCTTTAAAGATAATTTAAAAGCACATTTAAGGCAAACTCCATATTCATTTTAATATCTTTTAATAATAATGTCTGCCTAAGGGAATTTGTGTGTGATTTTAAAACGCATACTAATCTATGCTCTTGGAAGTGATCAATTTTGGGCCTTTGTTTCTTTGAACTTGTGCTAAGGAGGGCTGGAGCTGCATACATCCTCAACTAGGCTTTCTCAGTCTTGACAGACACAGCAGGAGGTAATCAATAAACTCTCCCATCACCTCCAAGAAGATGAACTTGGTGCATACTTCAGAACCGGCAGCCAAGGTTCAGCACAAGGATTCATTAGACTAATAAACCTTTGTTAATTACTCCTTCCACAATTGAATAACACTATATACACAAGTTGTTTTCTTTCCTAATGGCTCAGGTTTGTTAACCATCTTATCACCAAAGCACCATATCAAATCGTCTGCCCAGAGCCACACACATACTGTACAGTGCATGCCTCAGGTTTCCAAGCAAAGTTATGTTCCACAGAGAGTTTTATCAGACTATAGTCTTTCATTGAGGCTTTATGTTAAATAGTGTGTTGTTTCCATTCCAATTTTAGGATACAGCAGAAAGTAATTAATTCTAATTAGCATCCAATTCACAAGTGATAAAAATTTGCCAGATAGACAAAATGTAGATGCAAGATAATGGGAACATCAGCTTTGCTTTGTTAGAGAGGCTTTTTTTTTTTCAATAAAATCACTTTTATTAGTTTCTGGCCACAGTAATGAGAAAGGTTTCTATCACTGCTGTTGTGAACACAACTAAGCAACAATGGAAAGACGAGGCAGCTGTATCGAACATAGGCAGCATCACACTAAAGGAAAAAGATTTCTTTTACATATGACACAGAAGAACTTCACTAGCAGCACAGAAGAACCTTGGGTGCATACAGTGTTAGTGTTCTCTGCCTTTCTTGGCACAGATTTTCACTCCAGCTCTGCGATATCCATCTCAGGGGTCCCCCCGCTACACTGCTGGCTGAATGTCAGTGTGGTTGAGAGATTAAGTGGTGGTCACCTGCCACAGGTTGTCAATTGAATGTCTCAGGAAGAGCCTTATCAGCATAACAGGAGCCCATTTTCAGACACATCACATTCTATAAACATAACCTGCCCTTGTTTTGAATTTTGAAATGAAATCTCTGTTTTGATTGTTGTGCCTAAAGACTGAAATTAGTGTCAGGGCAAACTCTGAAGCACAGAGGCAACCTGGCACTACAGGCCACAGGGAGTGGATGAGGTGTGTTTGAAAGGAAAACTATCAATACAAAATAAGACAGCAGGAGACAACAGCTACCCGCCAGCGAGTAGCTCATTAAAGGAGGAATAAAAACGCCTAAGAATGCATTTTAGTTCTTTCTCATCTCAAGGGACCACAAACACAGACACGGTTGAAAAACAGCACATTACAGCCACCTTCACTCCCTTTGTTTGAACACTGGTAAAAAATAGTTAAGTACCCTGGACATTGTTTAGATTAGAAGCTGTTTTGAATGCCTTTATTATGAATGCAGCTACATAAATACAGTATTGGGGTAGACAGTTTTTTCCTAGTGCAGTGGCACTTCATCCATGCTTATTAGATACGTACATTTCAAAGGGTAAGAAAAACCCAGGTTATAGATTTCCTAATGAGGTCTGTTATGTATAAAGTCATTTTACATGTAATGCTGGGTATCTATTATTGAGCTTTGAATTCCAGCTGCCTTCCATGGAAACCTGCTGGCAAGTCAGGCTCCCTGTAGATATGATAAAATGTGTCATGCACAGTATTCAGGTTCCTGGTCCTGTTAAACAAATGCTATTTCCACTATTGGAATCTAACGAGAGGTATACCTGGTACTTTGCTCCGCATAACCTCCTGGGTTGACGTGCACCATACTGCTTTGTTTTCCCACTGTATCTTCTCTCTGTAGGTCTCTGTTTAGAGGAGGGAGGGGCTGTGCTCCTGTCACACATGCGCTCACAGCTGAGCAGAGGGAGAACAGAGGATGTGGAGGATCAGCAATCAGCCAGTAACGGCAAGTGTATGAGCACTTTATCAAACAGCTGTCAAACAAGCAGGACGTCTTCACCACTATGCCCGTGGTCCACTCACTGAAGTCCCTGTTTTGCCACTAAAACTAATAAGTGAAGTCATCATTCTAATTCTAAACCAGTGCAAGTGACTCTTACACACCCTGCTTGTAATGCTAATGACAAAGGTGTGAAAAGCGGACATTTAACCAATCACCAGCAACTGCTCTATGCATACGCACCCCCTCCCCCCTTGTGTTCCTGGAGTGTGATTTTAGCACTACCTCTTGAGGGGTGCTGAAATTTAGCGCCAGGAAAACACCTCCAAAGCAGGTGCATGGTAGTGGTAGCAAACGCAGAACCCGTGGCAAGTTACTCAGCTCAACACATTCTGGTAGGTTCCTATAAAGGAAAAATGTCCGAAATGAATTCACAGCTAATATGATAAAAAAATAATTTTGATGATGCATCCTGCGACATGGGTTTCATACTGCTATTGCTGATGGACCCCCTGCAAGTCTTTGTGGGCTTCAGCTCAGCATTCAACACCATCATCTTGGACATCCTCCACTCTAAACTGACCACAATGTGTCTTCCACTACCTGTTAGTGGATCACCAGCTTTCTGACAGGCAGGAGCCAATAGGTGAGCCTGGAGAAAATCACATTTGGTACCCAGACAATCAGCACATGCCCCCCCAGAGATACTGTATGTGCTCTCCCTGCTGCTGTTCCCTCTCTACACCAATGACTGTACCTCAGAGGGCTTCTCTGTTAAACACCTGAAGTTTGGAGATGACACAACAGTCACTGGTCTCTTTCAAGATGGTGACGAGTCTGCGTACAGAAAGGAGATTGAACAGCTGGCCCTGTGGTGCGGTCGCAACAACCTGGAGCTGAACATGCTCATAACAGTGGAGATGACATTGGACTTTAGGAAGAACCCCCTCATAATACTCAGCAGCACTGTATCAGCAGTGGAGCCCTTCAGGTTTCTGGGCTCCACAATCTCTCAGGACCTGCAGTGGGCGACAAACATCACCAAGACGGCACAGCAGAAGATGTACTGCCTTTGTCAGCTCAGAAAGTTCAACCACTTATCCCATGACTGTATAACAGAACAACAGCCCTCACTGCAATAACTTGTAAACATACAATGGTATATATTTCTCTAAAAACTTACCATCTAAAATGTGCGTATATGCACATACAGCATGTATTTATATTTAGAAGTAGATTTTCCCCTCTTTTTTTAACCCTAAATGTACATTATTTTTCTTGTTCTCTCATTTTGTTTCCTGGCTGCCTTATGGAAGCACATTGCACATGCACATTGAAAGCCACTGTACCAGAGTCAAATTCCACATATGTTCATCAGACCTGGCCCATAAAGCTGATTCTGATTTCATTTATTTCAGTATTTTTATGTCAGGTTATTCAAATGAAATGTTCAGTGGATGCATGTTATTATTCTGCAACCCTCACACACTATGAAAGTAGAAAATAAACTGAACAATTGGATGGGTATCATAGAAGAAGAATACAATTGACCATGCTGATGCAACTTGGTTTTTCTAAAACATCTTTGAAATATAATTTTCTTTTTTTCTTTTTTTTTGTTCAAAGGAATAAAAAGACCTGACAGCCACACAGCTCACACATATCAGCCACCTGACTTTAATACCTGTTCACATTTAAAAATTAAGAAATTCATTCTTTGCTTTTGTGCTAAAATTGCTAGAATACAAATCATCACATTCTACCCGTAAAAGCACAAAACATTTGGCACTACAATTTCTAGTTTTTAAAGTTTGTGATAAGCATACATATTGATCAGGACTGGATTTGGCCAAACAAAGGACTGTGAGAATAAACATAGACAAAAATGGCAGGAATAATATTTTGGTTGCTTTCATTGTACAACATCCACAAAACTCTAACAAACAGTTGTATGGCAAATCTGAGAGGCATTTTAAAAATCAATGCTCTGGGACTGATTTTACAAAATTAATTAATCAATCTAGAACTAACAGAATGTGGTAATTCACATTTTTATTAACGATTATATGAGTTCCTTCTCCTACAAATCTTATAAATATATAGCTTATGCCAGTAGCCAATTAAGTACACTTAGCATAAACACTGGAACAAATCTAAGTGGAGACCCCAGGAAGGTACTGGTCCCAACCAACAAATAAAACAGCACATTGTTACTTTTGGTTTTTATATGAACTAAACTATGACATACAATGTGTTATTTAGATATTTTAGAGCTACTGTTGTGATTGATATGTTAGCTTTGGGCACAGCCAACTTAGCCGTTTCCTCCATTTCTAGCATGGATGCATTAATTGAGGAGTGGATACAGCGCTGATAGATGGCACCTATTCATTCCTGTGAAAGTTGCTCAGTGGCGCAGACTCTGAAAAAACTGTCATCCTTCCGGATTACAGCCATAAATATTACCCGGATGTTCTACATGTTTCAGTGTTTTTAGGCCCATAAAGCATGTGCACTTATGTCGAGCCAAGTCTCCCAACAGATGAGCAGGATTACAACCAGTTGGCTCCACGCACACATGAATGGGATAAAATAAAAATATCCTAGAGCTAAACTAGGCTATCCAAAAAGTATTGGACCCGATGAATAAAATTCTGATAATAAAAAGATTTGTTTGTGACACACAGAAAAATTAATTTACTGTTTTACAGCTGCTCCTTTTCCAGCTATTCTCTATGGGAAAATGCTTTTTGATGCTAGTGTGGATCATGTGATGATGCAGAAGTTGTAATAATGCAGTTTGGCCACTATGCCAAATTTGCTTCACAGCCAAGTGCTGTTGCTGGGGGCCTGGTTTCCAGTCTTAGCAGAACTAAGCTAAGCTAAACCACTCCAGCAGATGGCTCCATTTTCTTATCACTCTACTCTCACCTATCAAACTATTGCTTTCAACATCTAAATATGACATCCTCCAATCTGAAAAAAAGCCATCATAACAACAAGCTATAGAACTACTGGCACAACAGAATGCATCCTTGAAATTAGAATCTGATGAAGACAATCAGTGTTTTTACCACTGTTTATAAAATTCCAATGTCTACATGAGTGAAGAGTAAGTATGTGTGCGATAGATAAGATTGATAGTGATGGCGAAGTTCATGTGGGTAATGTGCATTGCAGTGTTGTTGCTGTTTTTAATCAAGTGATAAAGATCAAGTAAACACAAGCTGAAAGGAATTAAATGTACAGCAATGTGTTATCCTTGTATCACTTGGCATTTAACCATAATCCAAAATTAATGTTTAAATGGTAAAATACGATATTTAGGTCATATCTCTAAAACCTTTATGCAGAAGTCTGTGAACAAACAGAATGGTTACAAAGCCAATTAGTAAAAGTGCCATATTTTCTGAAATCCAAAAGTCCAAAGTTCTGCGGAATATTTTATTATTATAATATTCAATTTATTTTTAGTTTTCTTAAAAGAGAAAACAAATAAAATATATTGCTGTTGTTAGGGAAAAAAAGTATTTCTAATTTGTTTTTTAAGCCAAATGGTTATGGGGGGGGGACATCAAATTCTCTTAACTGAAGCTGAAATTGGCTTTCACAGTTCCTCTCCCAGCTGCTCACAGACTGCACAAAGTGCTCCTTATAAAGAATAAAGAGTTCTTCATTTTTACCACTGCTAGCAGCTCCCTGTGTCACAACGTGGATTATGTATGTGGCTGTCTTGCACATGAGATACAGTATGCGATGTAGCAGCGATGAAGTGAGCAAGCACCAGAGAGAGATAAAAGTGAGATATCACATCACGGAGATACATATTTAATCCAAAGCAATAGTATATTATTAGCCTTCTAATGTATTATTTCGCTTTACTTTCCCCTGTAGCTTATTTCAGACTCAGTCTGTTATACAAGTGAGATTTGATATCAGATTTTCCAGCTGCAAAGAAATGTTGAAAAGTGTATGATTATTTTATGGAAGTGTTTCAAGAAAATGCTGATTTGATTTTTTTTTTGTTTTTTATTGGAGTTTGTCAGGAGTTCCACGTTGCCTCCATTTCATAAATTTTCTTCTTTTTTTTAGTTCACGGCTGTGGGAAATTAAAGGCCGTATCTCACATCCCATCTCACTCTCTAATACAGCATGTTAGTAGGACTGCTGAGTTGTTCCTGGATAATGTGATGATTCTCAACATTCAACTGAACAGGGAGTTGGTGCAGAGAGTCCTTACTGCATGTGTGGGGAAAGATGGAGAAAGAGAAGAGAGAGAAAAGCTGTGAAGAGAAAGAAGGGACAAGAGAATAACAGGAAAATCAAAGTCGAGTATTGGAGATGAGCCAGAGGGGGTCACATTACATAAAATTAACAAAAGGTGAGTTGAAAAAGAAATGAAAGATTTGAAAGGAAGAAGAAAAGAGTGATATGGATTAAGGGTGAGGATGCCTTCTAAAAGGTGACCCCACATGTAGTCTTTGAATGAAATTTTGTTGTAATGCAATCACAATCAAAAAAAATGCAATGAAAAGTCTTTAGATGGCGGGTGGCTATGGGTTTGTGCTCTGCTATGACTGCAGTAATTGCATAAAATCTTATAATAAACAAACTGTCAAGGACGATGTGTACACTAGACTAGATTAAAAGTATGATTGTTGGCATGTGTATGAAGCAAAAGAGCTCTGAGTCAAAGTTACACGTTCCCTCTCTTTGTGCATGTTTGAGGAAAAAACAAAAATGGCTAAATGGCCATGTTCTGTGGGTTTGCTCCTGTGTAACCTGGGTGAATTGCCTGCAAAAACGATTTCACCAAGATTGACTCTGCAGAGAGAGATTGGGAGAAAAAATAGATTGTTTTATTATTGTGAGTGTGTGTATATGAGGGTAGCACAGGTGGAGGACAGTAAGAAATGGAAAACTGAGAAATGGCTGGGCAATATTTCAAAAAAAAAAAAAGTAGCTTCTTTCAGTCTTAAAGGTGCATTGAAAGAAACTTTATAAGATGCACTTAATTTTGTCTGTTTTTTTTCTTTTTTAGGAATCCTCCTTCCTCCCTACTAGTCAGACCAAAGCCTATTTGTTTATGTGCCCCTTCTGTGCACCACATCACTACACTGAACACAATATTTGATCAGTGTCTCCACACATGGCTCCTTTGCCCTCTCCCACAGCTCCGTCTTCAGCACTGCTGGCTCAGCACACAGCCCACATCAAGAAGACCTCATCATAACTGTCATTGTTTTCACTCAGTCACTCTGGCTCTGACTTCCAAGGACTTGCCCCCACACAATAAGACCTAACTGCCATAATCAGGGGGTATCTATCTACCTCAGCCTCCCTTTCGGTCTCCACAGGTTTATCTTTTTCTTTTTTGTCATCCTTGTCCAGCCACAGCTCCTG